AACGTTATATCCAGATCTATCGACATTAAGAAGTATTCAAGGACGAACTCCTGTTTAACCTACTAGCCCAGAACGTCAGAAAATCACCTTCTGTACAAATTCAAAGAGTTCGTTAGAGGGGGACTGGAAATGGCAACCGAATGGTTAATTAACCGATGAGAAAATTACCGGTCTTCTACTTGTCAAGTTACTTTTGTTCGGCAAGGAAAATAAAATCCTTTTTGTTTTGATAATTTTTTTGTTATGCCTGTTTTGAATTCCCGCCAGTTGATTTGAGGATTGCCCTCAACACGTGCCCGTCCTCTCATGAGATGTCATTAAATGGGAAATGAGAAAGGGGATCGCACAATCTATCGCAGTGAGGGTACCCTCACATGAAATGAAAGTCTTGGTGACTTTTATCTGCTACATATCTTGCCACCATCTCGTACGTAAGATCCTTACCTGGAAGACGCTGTGTGGGACTAAAAGAATACGCCTTAACAAGTGCCTCTCTTAAGGCAATTTTTTGTTATTGGTACGTAACACGAGCCAACACCTCAACGCTGCATTCTAACTCCAATTCCACCCTCGAAATAACCGTCAGATTTGTTTCTTTTGGATTTTACCTGGAATTGAGATAACTGCTAATCATTCTGCGCAGCTTTTTTTTAAATCCCCCTGTTGAAAGCCGCCACGAATGCAGCCATCCCTTACAGGTGGCTTTCTTAATTTAATCTGTGCAGTAGTGGTGATGAAGCCGCCTTGTAAAAGTGAATGCCTTTTGGTGTGTTTATTGAGACCGCGTTAGCGACATTTTAATCACAGGAACGTTTCGCAGCAATTGCAACTTTTCCTTCTATTCAAAATATAACAAATTTGACGTTCCATTAGTGCTGGTGGTCTACCAGACCTTCTGTATTAACTCATTGAGGACATTTATGATGGTCCACATGTTGCATCATTGGCAGAAGCTATCAGAATGTCATACTGGTGCCTCTACAGCACTATAAGCTCTAAGACCTTCTCGGGGATTGTTAGTATTCAGCGTCCACAAGGAGCACCTCCAACTGAGATTTTGAGCCTTTGCGCATCACCTGCGCGGAGGCCTGAAATCTGAGGAGAGGCAGTGGAGATGCACTGCATTTATCCCAGTTGACCTTAACTGTGCTTATTAACAAAGTGAAACCTGAAGTGATGAAAAAATTGTTTCTGAGAAAGGAAGGGTAAGGAGCTACATCATATGGAAGAGAAAGGCGGCGAATTAGACTATTTCGACTGACTAGCCTGGTAAAATCACGTTAAAAATGGGCTGGGATTTGCAAAATGACTTTAAACTCCTACTATCTTTTGCTCAAGTTTGTTAGGTGATCAAAAATGAAGGAATTTATCGGAAAATCTCGATAAATTTAATCTTTTAAAACTTTTGGTAGTTGCATAGCATTTGGAGGAGGTGCGGCAGCAGAATGCACCGCTCGAAGATGCATCACGTCTAGCACTCACCTCCGTTCTTAGTAACAAAAAAGGAATCGTGTGCTATGAGCGATCATGCAACAGTTTATAAGCATCTGATTGGAAGAGAAAATCGTCATGGAAACCAAAAAGCTAAGCAAATTGTCCCTCCTCATAAAGGTCATCACTTTAATCGTGGTGGATTTCTAGAGATATAAGCTCTCCTATGAGAAATGCCCTTTTTAATCCAGCATATGTTGAACTAACCGACTTATCATTGACCATCTTTAGGTAATCTACTTACCGCCCACCTCATACTTTCACTCCCTGCATCAGTTCATCCCCACGGGATTACACTTGCTTTAGCCTCCCCAGCCCAGAAGGAGGGAAAAGTAGCTTTGTCAATAGAAAGGGCCAGCACCAATGTATCAGTGGGAAGAAAGTCCTAGTCTTGCTCTTGCATAGCAGCCCAGGACAGGACTCCATGCTTTGCAACACAGTACAAATTCTCCTTTGGAGAAAAGCTACACTTCAGAGTGGCAAGGCACTGCTGCCTCAACTCACCCGCTAATCAGACTGAAGACACTCGAGAGATAAATGGAGTGCTCATTTATTGCAAGATTTAGCAAAATAACACTTTGCTTTCTCCTAAAAGCACTTTTTTGAGCAGTAGTGGTACTGGATATTTACATTTCTGTATTGCAGCAGGGAAGCACATACCATCTTGAAGTGAACGATCGGGTACACATAAAAGACAATTTGGCCATACACCTCCAGGAACTCATCGATAAATTATTTAGTGTTTTAAAATAGAATTGTCTCCGTTTGCTTTTTGTTTTTTTGTAAAATAATGGCATTTTCTTTTGCATTGAATATGTCACATATCTGTGACGTACGGGCCTAGAAAAGTCGGGGCGTCATGGAGATGTGACACTGTTAAATCACTTCCCTCCGCAACCAAAAAGTTAATTTTACAACTCACTATGGCCTTCTATTCAGTGAGGCTGAACCTTGTTAGAGCGACACTTTTAGGACATACATTTTCTCATCCACCAACTTTGATGTTTATGGAACCTGAATTTTAAGGGCCATTTATTAGCAAGCGTGGAGAGATGCTGGATAATAAATTTCTCGAGTCTACCTCCAGACTGATCATCAAAGAGACAACTACCGCACTCCTTAGGGTTTGTGTGCATCATACCCAATGGCTCTGGTAATGCATTTGAATCATCCCCTTTCCTTTCTGTATCATCCCGTTCCATCAGGATTTGAGGTGTGACCTTCAAATTGACCAATCCGAGTTCGGTGATTATTAAACTCACTCACAAATCAGAACCGTGGTTACCCACCTCACTTGTTTGCCACACTCCCCTTCTTCCGTTTGTTGCCAATGTTAGCCCAGAAGCCATGATGAGGGGCTCTGTCCCTTTGTTACACTGGTGGATAGCTTTAATGGTAGTTCGACAATCCCTTGACCTTGCAGAATCCAGACAAAATCAAATCGAATGTGGTATCACTTGGATATGAGAAAGAAGATTCATTTTCAACAATTAATCAAAATATAAACTTCACTGAAATAGAAACTACTGATCCCCATTGCGATCAGTCAGTAGTGGGTCAATCTCATTTGTTGTAGCAAGGTCATCATTACCGATTCTGGTATGACTAAGGTCAGCGAGGCAAATGTGATAAATCTATCCCATTTAGGAGTTGTATTCACAGCGCCATCCCCTTACAGAAGTGAACATGACCTCCATGCTCTGCAAAGTGTCTGTCTACAGAGATGGTGACTAGAAGTGGCAAGGCACACATCCAAATTATCGACTGGCCCGCTCAAGCCCCTGATGAGTTGGCGTTCGGTTCTGCCTTAAGGTAAATGCCATTGTCATTTGCTTGACATCCCACTGATCGATAACAATTGTGTACCTTACCATCCATGACAAATGATTCGATAGTTATTTAAAATCAACAAACACTTATGAATAACAATTTTTAAAATTCTTATTGCAAAATACAATCACGCCGCAGATAGACATTTTGGGCATGCAGAGTTAAGTAAAACCGGGTCTTACGGCTTCTGAATTATCACATAAATGTAAATCTCCTCATGTGAAGGCCTCACAACCACATCGACAATGCAGGTGAAAAGATTGGGGGACACCGTGTCAGCAATTTCCCAGATCTCAAAGGTGTAACTCTATAGGAAAAGTGCGGTCTAAACTGATACTCCGACATGCTGAAACTTTGCATTTACTTGGCCATGCAGATGGGTGACCGGTGCCACTCTTTGTTCCCTCATCGAGCTTCTCTATCTCCTTTAGCCACTCGTTTTCCACCACTACCGCCTCCTTTCAAGTACCCCTTGAGACATGCATCAAAATGTCACCACTGGGGGGTCCCAGGTTGTGTGGCCAGTGTGGTATGCGCGTGTGGATGTTTATGATGAAGTAGACAAGACGAAGTGACAGAAAGTGACGTCAGACGACCACCCAGAACAGTCAAACAGGCATTGGCGTGTGGTTGGGCCAACGACAAATACCACCACGCCACCAGCTCCATTTGCCCATCCCCTTTTCAATCAGCCGTAGTCATGAGGTTTGTGGCTACCCTTCCTTCCTCCCATCCATTCCGGCTCCAAAACTGCTCTTTTTTAGACCCGGAGAATTTCACCCCTTCAAAGGTTTCAAGTGTATCAGTGCTGGGCCTGTTCCTGCGTCCAGGAAAAGGAATTTTTGAATGGAAGGTAGCATTCATTCAGTTCTGGAAGCATTAAGTATCTAGGACAACTATTTATTTTCTTTTTAATTGACTTTTCAAACGAAAAAATCATTCGGCTTCAAGGGAATACAAATAGCTCTGCCAATGGTGAATCATGCAAAACGAACTTATTAATGCGAAGTTGCAATATATTTACATAAATAGGAAATAAGGATACAGATCGGAAAAACTCATAATTTAGCTAATAAATGGCGGATAATAAAAACATCTATTCATCTATTCCTTCAAAGAAAGACTTTTCTCAACAAAACCATCTGAATAGCAAATGGGATAAACCACCTGATTTGCAAGGCCATAATCCAGTTTGTCTTTGGTTTTACATACCCCAAAAAAGAAAAATCCGCTTTCGAAAATCCACGTCGAAGTCAGTATAAAAATCATCCAGGTTGGTGTAATCACTGGTACAGACAGTAATGCTGGCGAACGTGTATCAGGCGCAGCCCGCGCCCACTTGAGGAACACAAATTTTCCGCCCATTGTGAAGGATCTCACACCGAGAGGAAAAAAGAGATGAGGAAAATAATAAGTAATTGCCCATTTTGATGGAACCGTCGTCTTGTCACAGGTGACGTTCGCTGTCGCGGCCTGTGAGTGGTGGATCCGACGTGCCACGCTGATTGGTTAGTGCGGCGTTCTCAGTGTGGCGTTCCCCGCTTTTGCACGCAACGTGCCCGCAATCAGCTTGTGGCTGTGTATCAGTATCTACCAGCCTCGTCCCCAGGTAGACAAACACGCACATGCAGAAGACTGGTTGACAGGTTTTCCCATCCACAGGTCGATGTCCTTTCACCATGACCCTCGTCGTCTGCCCCCCTCTAGTCTGTTCTGCTGAAAAAATCTCGACGACTGTGGCACACCCACCTCCCGGTAGTCCCATCGTCGCCTCCAGTCCTTGCTGCCACCTCTGCAGTGTCTACAGACAATTGCCAAAACGTGGGAAAGTCAATCACACGCAAGGCTGCTCTACACTCTACCTCTGCTGCTACCTCCTCAGTGTCGTCGCCTACTTTATGCTCTGCACGGAGCAGAATCGACAGCGTGCGTCACCACGCCATCCCCTTCTTCTGTACAGTGTAAATAAACCCTTCTACGCTCCGTTTCCCACTACTGTTTTCGCCGTGGTGACTAAGGAGAGAACGCCGACGGCTTCAACGTCACTCCCATCGCACTTTTGCATTCCCTTTATGGCTCATTTGCGACAATGGCGGTGGTTTATTGTCAGTCTCATCTTTTTCTACGGCCTAGGGTTGTTTGTCTCACCAGCACGAGCTACTAGTATTGGAGTGGCTCTGCGAGTCTTTGATTCATCCAACGGATCGCGGATTTTGGGACGAAGTCAACGGAGCACAGAGGACTTTGAGCGTCTGCTTAAGACGGATGTCGGATTCCTGTGTCTACTGGATGGCGCTCCTGAAATGGTGGAGCAAAAGTTCTTCGTGGGCATTCACAAGAACGGAACACTGGAGGTCACGAAAGGGGCTAAACGTGAGCGCTCTTCCCTTGTCTTATAAGTTGCGTCTAGCGACATTGACGGCTAAAACTTTGCCGCATTTCTGATAAGTCGTTTCTCGAAATCATCCCTTTTTCCCATTACATATCGAAGTTACTGTTATTATTTTATGTCCCTGCAAAATCGCAGAGATCTCTGGGTGACTCTTTTCGAAAAAAGGTAGCGATAAGCCTGTGCGAATGCAACACTTCAATCCCCTATACAGACGAGGAGTAAAAGAATGCCATAAACCAGACGTGACCACTGTCTAGTTCCAAACAGGAGGGTGGAGGGTGTAATACGTTTACTGATTGACTGACACCACTTCAAGTCGATTGCAGGCATCAGTCACCTCCCTAAACTCCTCTGCAAATCGTTTTTAACTCACACAAGAAGTAGCATGAAAAATGATAATTTCGAAGAATCTGCAAAAAAAGCTGCTGCCAAATGGGTTTGACGAACACTGACGACTGTAAACATCTGCCTTCAGTGTTCTTTGAAACCTGGCTTTCTTTCACGTCTGGAGATCAGGTTATCGCTCCATATTCGTCACCTTCGGAAATAGGTCAGATTTGAATCATGACCATGTGACAGCTATCAACCCCCCTTCACGCACACCGATTGATGAGATGGAATTTGTGTGCATGAGTTCAAAGTTGCCTTAGCCATCTGGGTAGCCAGACCCGGCCAGTCGACTCCGCACATTAATTAAAGTACACGAGTCCCTGTGTGTACGCGTTAATTGCTGCCACTTTGTCAGTCGGACGGCCGTTTATTTCGGATGGCGTAACTTTGGGTAATTTAGCCGGAAATTTCATCCACACCATCTTGCGTCACTCGCTAGACCACTACTTTCACGGGGAGCTTAACGATGGGAACGAACAAAACCCATTCGCTCGGTCATAAAGTCCCTACCTTATGTTCGTCACAGAAACATGTTTCTTACTTGGTCATGGTTATGGACCAAAGCCGGCAATGTACGAATGCCTGTCTGTCGCATTAGATTAAGGTCTTCCGCAGTGCTGACCTTGGTCATCCAAAAGACTCATTGAAGGGTGACACACAGGAGCGGTTGACTGTGTTTACGTCAGGGCCTAGAGACCTGGTATCCATCAGTAGGCAGGGCCGCATTGTGTTTTACAGTTGGATGTAAATGTTTGAAAATAAATCAACTCCACCACTGTCACAAAGCTTGACCGGCCGGCTCTTTGTGTCTTTCGCACTCGCACACCAGCTTAGGTCGGACGACAGTGGGGTGTCTATGGGGGCGCAGAACCAAGATTTCTTGTTTATTTCATTGGGAAAATTGTTTCCAGTTGGGTCATCGAGGAGGAAATCCCCGAGATTTGATCAATTTACAATTCACCTTCGTTCGCACAGAAATAGGGTGCATTTAGAGACTTGCCGTTGACCACCGTATTTGACTGACTTGTAAGCTATGAAGAGCAATTCTCGAGATCGAGTCACTTCTGTTAGTAAGACTTTGACGACAATGGTAGGTTAGGTACAACTGCATATTCACAATGGATAAAAACCGAGTCTTGATTTGAAAGCAAACATTGTGCAGTCAACACATCGACTACTGAATTTTGTCTCCGGGAGGAAGTGACCATCACATCTACCCGGAAACCAAAAAAACGCAACTATCCTCAATACTTGAACGTCCCATACCTTTATCTGTTTTCATTCAATCTGCTTTTGACGCGACTTGACAACTAGCTATAACTCGGCGATAAGGCGCGTACATCATATATATGTGACCCTGGTAGCCTATCGTTAAAATGGACTCTTTCGCAGTGTTCCGCGAAAGCAGCCATCCAGGATAGTCTTGTTATTTGGTGAATTGGCCAGAAAAAGTAGTAACAAGGGGGATCAAGTTAAGGCGTTAAGGCTAGAACTTGTTAACCTCCGTTTTCCCTTGCTATTTTTACATTACCTTAGTAGCCATCTCAACGCGGAATCGCTACTTCGTCAATGGAACGGCTTTAGCATACCTCCTCATTTTTTCCTTAGCCAAAAAAACCGAAGGGAATAACATCCACTGCAGAAAAATGGGGGCGGGGATTCTGGGACTGGACACCTTACATGGATTTATTCGCATACCAAGCCCACACGTGTACGTGCGCTTCTGAGTTGGCTTGTACTTGAAGACGCGCCTTGGAGGACGGTAGTGCCGACATAGATCAGCAGCCACCATCAATGCGAAAAGTTCCAGACAATTCAAACACGTCGGAAATACAGCCCAGGCAACTCAATCATCATCACGAGTACCCTCATCATTATTATCATCATCATCATCGCCTTTGCCCTTGTAGCAAAGATGTGTATGCAAACATGCTTGAAAAACCCACTTTGAGGACAGGTGGACATTTGTGCGTCTGTGACATGAGAGCTGGCCGTAGTTGATATGACCGGTTTGCTGACCATGACTTATGAAAACAATAGTTCTTTACGGAATCGAGCCCACGGGGTTGGAAGTTGCATTGTATGTGAAGTCAACTGTTTGGATAGTCGTAGTCGGCTAAGCATGGCGCCTATTTGTCAAATGCTGCGTCCACACATTCAAAAATCACCCAAAAGATTGGTTTAAAAAAAAAACTTAGAAGGGCGGATGAATAACAGCAGAAAATGATGTGGCGTACACTTCACCTAGGACTCCGGTTCTCTGGTCACATTTCCGCTATTCTATTAACTATTTCTCTTTTAATTTCGCACAAATATGAAGATACAGATGTTAAGCTTGGTGTCTTTGCATGGCACGCTTTCAGTTTTTTGACTAACATTTATCTTTTACTTGGGTAAATCATTTATATATGGTTTTAAAAAACCAGTTCACCCATTCTTAAAAAGGCAGATTATTCAAAAGTGCTTGTTACTTAAGTGTGCATGTTGTGTTATCTAAAAAAACGTTATTGAGAACAGTCAACCATCAAAGGAAAAAAAACTTTTAATTAAAACTCCTCGATCTTCTTCAAGTTATCGCCAGACAATATTATCAAGGAATAATTTTGGGCAAAAAATGGTCACCTCAGTATCTACACTTCCTCTTAGTAGCAATAGCAATTAAACAATCAAATAAGCAAAAAAATGGCCTTTTCATGACTCTATCTTTCATTTTTGCTTGCGAAAACATAAGTTGCTCAAATACCTATTAGCGACATTGACACAAAACTCACCCTTCAATCGCACAATTAAAATGACACATCCTTCTGAACTTACCATTTTACAATCATTCAATCGCAGCGACCTTGAGGTAAGCAATATGATGTGCTTCCCATGCCGAAGTGAGTCTAAATAACCGCGCCTAATGTAACTATAGTCGCTCACAAATTTACAGACCACGCCGACCGTTATAACAAAATCAATTTTAGACGATAACTCATTTCGAAGATTTTTCATCTGCTGAAAGTTCCCTTCTTTCGCGTGAGATGTACTAGTCTCTTTTATTACACCCTCGGAGGAGAGAAAAAATTGTTCCGCTGACCAGGTTTGAAAGAGTCTGTATTTGTTTATGACCTTAACCATTTCGCGGACCCGCTTATAAATGTGTAGTTTTTCGAATTATTTGTCTGAGTGATTGAATATATTTTTGACCCGGGCGGTTTAAACTCATATCCTGCAAGGTTAACGGATAGATTGCCTTACTGTAGCAATTGGAGGCCTCCAGACACCCACCAGCCTTCAATCCTTTCACACGTGAACAGCTACAAGTGTATCAGCACCATTGGTTTCTTTGTAGTTCCCTTGGAACACACGTAAATTAAGCCGTAACGAACTTTGGACTTCTAGAGAAGACTGTGTATATGCACGTTCCGTCCTAGTATGTGTGTTTGTGTGTCTGATAACGCAATTTTCATAACATTTGCTTTCTACAAACACTCAAATGCATGTCTGAACCTAGGCATCAGGTAAAATAGATACGTTATCGGCCCAAAAAGGCAGTAATCAAAAGTCCCATCTTAATTAATGTTAGCAACCTCTGTGACGAGATTACCCGCTAAAGTCTCCTCAATAATTGTAAAACGCACCCAAAATATTTATGATATTTTCCCCGCTAGTGGAATTTGAGAGAAAATCGACTATCTCAACCCAAAAAATCGTTCCATTTAACGGTTCCACTTTTCAAAAAATAAGAAAGCACGTAACCGTGGACAAGAAACAATCTAAATAACCTTAGTGGTTTTAACATAAGAAACTAGTTTGTGATATCTGATGTGGTCGAATCAGTTAGCATAAGTTGATAAAATCCGTACGTCACGTATGTGTGACAAAGTTTGCGCACATTCATGAATTGTCAGTTTCCAAAATTCCACTGTCTATTTCTACTTAGATGAGTTAAAAGTCCAAGTGGCTCGAAATGTCTCACAAAAGGAAGAGGAGGAGGAGAAGACGGAGAAGCCCCAATATACAATAATTTTGAGTGACAGGACGAGACGGTGGTTCTTGTGTCTGAACGGTAGCACCATCACCAGCATGGAGGTAAGTCGAACAACAAAGCCAAAAACTTACTGCCTGGAAAAGATACGTGGACTGTCAACTTAAATTGTACCTCAAAACATTTGCCTTGATTTGTAGATCGCTCTCGATGAAGATCTCCCATACGAGTGCGCATGGACAGGATCTCAGGATTCGGTTTGCATACGCGTCCGACCGCTATTGCAGCCTCAACAAAGTATCCAATTGGGCGAGTACACAACATCTTTTCGCGACGCAATTCTGTGCCTTCAAATCTCTGCTGAAGTGGAGAGTTCGCAACGCAATGTCTGCTTAGAAGTACGAGCCAGCCTCAAATCAGTTGCCAAAAAGGATCTTTCCCTTGCCTACCGTCTCCTACGAAGTCTTCGAACAGCCCGACGGAAGCTCAAGTTGGCGCTTCTGAAACAAGGTGTGGGGTCCAAGGCAGCTCGTGCGACCATCCAAATCATCAACCGATTGGTGAAGGTGAGGCACGATATGAAAATGACGCAGTGGGATTATGAGGGCATCACCGCAGTGGATCAAAAGGGGTTCATTGGCGTCTCTGGTTGTCGTTGCGAAGTTCCAGGAAATGTGGAGGAAGAAATAGACGCTTACATCACTTTCAAAGCAAAGCAACAAAATCTGGCTTGGGAGGAGCAAAAGTTGGTCAGAAGCCTTTTTGATAGGACCAAAAAGCTCTCTTCTTGGAGTAATGCATCTCTGTTGGCATACAAACAACATCCAAGCCTCTCTCGAATTCTTCAAGGGCTCAACTTTCTGCCGAGGAATATGACAGACTTGGAGACGAGTCTTCATCTTGTTCCTCGCTATCTGACAGAAGAATACACCTCTGAAATCTCGAAACGCTCTTCAAACGCCCTAGAGCGAGCTGTTCTCTTGAAACTGGAGGAGATAGTGGTGAGACGACGTCCTAAAGACTTTTACTTCCTCAACAAGTCTGGATGTGTAAAGGATTGGTTAAATCGACTGCCAGGGAAGAGTCAGAGTTCCAATGTCTCGGCATCCGACGTCTGCAAAAGTGGAACATTAAGGCACCCTTCATTGCTAAGCTTTGCGCATGGTGAAGTTGAAGTGGACCACAAAATGGGCCTCTCAGAGTAGTGGAAGGGCCGAAAGGGTGAACAGCAGACTTGTTTAAAGTGATGTGCCACAACAGCATTCCTTGTGTTGCCTTTTGCGCATGTTCATCGGCAGCGTTGTCATCGCTGAGACGCTGCAATTTGTACATATTTTACCAAGTCTTTGTTATACATATACGTATTTATCAAAAGGGGGAATTCAAAGCCTTTTTTCTTGGGTAGGGACCGGAATATCTGAAGGAAGGCTTAAATCAGGCTATGAGCATTACAACCGAGGCGCGAGGCCAGAAGGAGGGAAACAGAGGGGAAATAAAGTTAAAAGTTCAAAAAAACTTCTAAAATACAAGATTTTTCGTTTCATTCTACGGTCCTTTTCAATGAGACGCAAGCAAGCACCAAATCCCACCTTTTTCAACGTGTTTCATCCCTATAAGCTAATAAACAGGACTGAAATAGCCTGCCCGAACGAAATTGTTGAAGCTAAATTGCTGGTGTGTATCGGTCAGCCAAAACTTTTGCTTTTCAAGGTGCCTATATTTCCCCTCTCACAGCCGTTTAGAGAGGATCAAGCACCATCGAATATGTCCTGATTTCACGGCTGAAAGGTATCTGTTGTTGGTGGTTACATCCACCGAGCATATCAAAAGAAGGGGTTTAGAAATAGCCTTGACCTCAATCTCAAGTTCTACATGGTGGCCATCCATGAAATCAAACCCGAGTCAATCAGATTAAAATTGTTCATAAAAGATTTGAGAAAACTCAAACAGATGACCGGGTCGGAGTGGAATAGCATGAAAATGATCAGAAGGAAGGAATGGAAAGCGTCGTCCTGTGAGGTTCTTTTATTTTTCGGCTTAACAGGTAATCCTATGCTTTGAAGACAAGTTAGGATACAACAAAACGCGTTTGAGAAGGAACGGACCTACTTCTAGAATCGCAATAATTGAGAGAAACCTTCCAAAAGTTTGCCGAGAAAAGTGTTCAAGCCATCGACGGAAATGCCCGCCATGAAAGCATCAATAAAATCTAAGATCTAGAGACAATGAAATCCATTCCAATGCCAGTTCAAAAAATAATTTTTTGCAACTTTCTAGAATCAAAACCTACCCCAAATTTGTTTAAAGGTATAACAGGTGTTGCGGTGTGTCGGTTTTTCACTGTCAAATGTCAAATTATGATGCTTGTCCGTTTGACTACAACGCCAAGGTGGCAAGCGGACAGTTTGTAGGAGCCTTATGACTGAGCGAACGGTGCAGATCTCCGGTGAAGAGGCAAACTCCCCTTCAACCTTGCCTCTATCCATCATGCTTTCCTCTAACCAGTCTTCTCGATCCAGGGACCCGAAACCAAAGGTGGAGGGGAAAACCGAGAAAATGGCGCACGACATCTTTTACTGTACCAACAGCGGGAACGATCAAATCCCATTGAAAGCTATCAAATAGGTTTCAACTTTATTCTTTATGAATAATCTGGATTCTACTGACACCAAGTAAGTAGTATAAGTCGGACCCCACATGAAAAGCCCCGCCAATAACGCGCTTAAATGGGACTAACCCCGGGTCATCCAGACCACAGTAGGATTGAAACTTTGGCTCGCATTTAACCGTCCTGCTGTTTCACCTGCTCAAACGACTGCAACCCTGTGCTTCTTGTGTCAATTTCCCAGTAAATACGAGGAATCACTCGCCAGAAGGTGTTCAAGAGCAAACAGAATGCTGTTTATTCTCACGAAAGCACGCAAAGTGGAACAAAAAACGACCCCAAACATCAACGCCACTCGATACAAAAGGAGTTAAAATGGTGTAAACTGGCAATAAAAAGGAATGCAGAAGAGTTATCTATTACATCTTTTCAAAGGACATGGTGTAGTCACAAGAGGTACAAGATTTCAAATAGTTTCCCGTTTTCTTGTCGTAAACCTCAGGACCGAAGGTGTGTTCGTGTGAAACTGACTTCTTTGTGTACAAACTGCTCCGCACCTGGATTCGAAGCTCTAGAAAAGGCAACATGGGGTCAATCAATTTCAGGAAAGTGTAATTTAAAAGAGGTTAAGGATAATTTCATCACCTTTCAAGTCCCATTTTGGAACCCACCTTCACTTCTTTAATGTTGCAATGAAACGCCCACGTTTTAACCTAATCAGGAAATTTTTGCCAATGCATTTACATCTTTGAGCTATCATGAATCGGAGCATCGTCAACAAATCCAGCACTTATATACAGCCTGTCTGCAACCAGCCTCACTTTCATTCATTTGTTTCCTTCAATCGGTTCCAGAGTCCTTCCCTCCTTCCTTCCCCCCTTGTTAAATGCACGGAACACTCTACATCCGTCGTCGCAGCACAAGTGAGAATATCATCGCTACAATGAGTACGTATGCCAGGCGATGTGAATCGGTGTCGCCTGGAGCAACCTTCGGCCTACGATGATGCGCTGCCTCTTCATCACCGGTGCAACTTACTTATCAGTTTTGTGGCCATAGTTGCAATTTTTATAGCAAACTCCAAGTACAACTAGCTTGTCAGACCGAGGTATCCACATAAGGCTGTCACACGCAACCAATTACTCCTCCTGCTCTTGACACCATCCCTTCTAAAGAAGATGCAAAATTGCAGAGATTTACCGATGCTGCCCCGCAGAAGTGGTATCAGACCGGAAGATTGTGTTTGAAACACAGAGTTTTGTAATATTGTAATTTAATATATTTTACCAAGTGGTAACTAATCAGCGTCATTATTAGATATCGGCTGAAAATCACTAAAAGTGCGATTTCACATCCAATTCTATTATTGAACGTCAAATACTTTTCTCCTCCTAAAAGCCATCAAAGATTGGTTGACAAAGTGTCATCCACTACCCTGGGATTGTCAAAGTACAAGCAACACGGTCGCTCAACTAATCAGGCACAAATCAAACTACTGTTGCCCCAAAATGACCGCACTTGCAGAGGTATTTGTCTGAATGAGGAAGAAGAACTGCACTAAAGCATGTAATAACTTGGAAAAAGTCTTCTTCCCGCTCCCTTTTACTTCTTGAAGAAATGAAACGAAATGGGGGAAAAGAAGCCCGAAATCAAAGCCTGTTGAGACATCAAAAACAGGGTAAAAGGGTAGGCAGGTAAGCGGATCAAGTGGTGGCGCTCACTGTTTCAATACACAGTACTCGGGTGTCAAGGAGCAAAACCGCTTGATAGATTGGTCCCCCACACAAAATTCCGCCATTACATTCAGTAAGAAAAAGCCAAAGGTTATAAGGGCTAGCTTAATGGTGAGGCTCTTAGCACGGCTCTTAAAAGCTTAGAGGAGCGAGTACGAAGAAAAAAATAAAAGGATAGACGAATTTTAGGAACTAAATCAGAGTTACTTAACCACCTTCTTACCTTAAATCGTGGTTTTTCGCGAAAAGGCGAACTCTGAAATCCACACGAATTTGACCAACCAGGTAAGGTAAACAGAGACGAAGGTATACATTAAGCAAGAAAGAGGTACATGCAATTTTTCATCACTAACCAGTAAAAAATCTGATATTGGTGAGTTTATTGATATTGAGGGCTCGTCAGAGCTCCATACTAAGGATTGTTAAATTCGTTAAATATGACTGTCCGGCTACAAAAACGGAATTATACGGAGCAGATGGTATTTACAAAGTAATTTTCGACAAACTCCAAGACAACACCACTTGGATACTGATGTTTGTCTCGTGATTATTTGCTCTATGCTAAACAGCACAGAGGACTTCAGCAAATATATCAACAAATGAGCTTTACAAGGTTTAATCCAGTTATGATGAAGAAAGCCTAGGGTCAAACCCGCATGACAATACCTCGGTAGAGCATTTCAAAGGAACAAACTGGAGAAAAAGGTAACACATCCTACCTTTGACCTTTTTTTGAAATCCTCGCAGTTTGGCCTTTTCGCGTTTGACAACGCGACTCGCCCGCTCCGCCTCCAGTTTCTCCTCTGAGCCCCAAATTTCCAGCGAACGCGCCGCAACCTATTTGATCAGATAGAGGAAGCATCTCAAAATTTGCAACCGACTAATGATTTTGGGGGACAAAAAACTACTCTGACAAATCACATCGCGTTGGATACTAACTGTTAAGACGTTTCATGATAATCATGGATTTTGAGTAATAAATAAGCAATTAATGAGTGCAATTTGGCGAGAAGTAAAATTTCAGTCTTACATCAAGAACGTGCATCATAAGACGGGTTCAGCTTCTCTAGCAACTTCGCCGATTTTCAGGCGTCGCTTAAATCGCCTAAGTAGTTTAGAAACTGTATTGCTCTAAAAATTAATTCCTAATATTTTAAAGATTCTTTGAAGAAAAATTCCGCACATCTTTTTCGATTTTTTTACAACTCGAGAATCAAAATCCTAAACCCGGCTTACAAACGTAACTATATGAATCGTCGGTGGAGGCTATATCACCTCGCAGAAACTACGCCGTGAATTTAGTAATTAGCAAAAGTGGTTTATTCATTTAATCGAAATAAAAGGTGCCGATCCAATCGGAATTTCGTAAAACAAACCTGTTTTCTATCCACACCAAACAGATTTCCAAATTACAAGCAAACAAACCTGGGCTTCAAGAAACAGTTGCATATCACCCCAAGAGGAATTCCTTGGATTCTTCTTGTAAATTCGTCTAAGTGGCGGCTCTCTCACGTCTAAATCAACATCAGATAGGAGATATCGCTCCTTGGCTGTTGACCGCGTGACTAAGGCGTGGATTCCCTTGCTATCCCTAAAGTTTAATATCGAATGAATCGAATTCTACTAATTAATTGTAAGTAGCAATTGCACGCACCCCTTACCTACACCCATCGCACACCTGACAATCATAGTTTCTCAAGAGGTAGGAGTCGTCGAATTCGCGTGAACACTCATCACAGAGAGGCTTCTCTTCATCTGGAGGTCGGGGAAGAATCGGTAGCGATTCAGATACTGGTGGTGGAACTGGCGGCTGCTTGGATTGCAATTTTCGGCGTTTCCTTCGACGCTGCTGTCCCAGACCACCACTGTCGTCTGACGCGTCTGTTTCCTCCTCCGACTTCTCGAAATGCACCACTTCTTGACTCTGCGAGAAGGGAGGTGGATCGAGGAAGAAACCACCACCGGAGTCAATGGGTCGTGAATGATAGACGGAAGCACCCTTGGTTACGATTTTGACGTTCCTGTAGAGAGAGATTGCTTGAGATCAAAACGAGGGAGGCCTAATTTTCAAATGCTCACCGATCATTGGAAACTACACGAGCGTTGAAGAGGTCTAACGCCTTCTTGCGATTCTCATCTATCTGCTGCTGTTCTGCTTCCGTTCGTTTTTTGGAAGAGACGTCAGAAGAGGTGGGCACACCTTCACCTTTCTCCCCTCTTGAAGGGTCACTTTCTATCTGCATTCCCTTTAAGAAGCCAAAATCACAAAGGAACACACCACATTATTTGGTATACAAGCAGGTTGCGTCGATTTTTTATCACTGATCGACATTGTTATTCAAATTACAAATTCTCAAAAATTCAACCAATTCAAACAAACCGCCGTTATGATTAAAACTATAGCTACGAAAATGCAAAATTTACGTCAGCACTGATCACCTGCAAGCTTGCCACCAGGGCACTGGGTGCAATAAGTACACATACTATAAAACGCCTAGAGTTTATCAAGTATAAGGGAGATCTAGCAAAAAGATGAGAAAGTGATTAATTACGGGAGGTGGGAATGAATAGCAAGTTCATTGGGAATTCGATAAGGGCAACTGCAGCCAATCAGGAAGTGCCAAGATAACCCCACGCCCCCTAAGCCAAATCGAATGCCTGTTTTAGGGCTTTCCATTTGAGGAGCAAACGAAATTTCACTGATACATCTCCTCCCGGTGCGTGAAATGCTCATCGTGCTGTACACCACCTATACTATTCTTAATTAGAATTTGCTGCATAATTCCTATCAACTGACAAAGAGAAATGAGCAGCTGTTGACGTTATGTGGATCTTGCCTAGATTTATCAGCGACTTCTTAAAAGTTATCGGCACTACGGCTCTTCCCTTTCCTCCACTGTAGTATTTTCAAGACTTATTGACACATCGTGGGAGCACTAGTACCAAAAAGCCAGGGGTAAATATGAGTTGATTCACAAAAAATGTTCAATCCCATCAAGACACCGCAAAGGTACGTTGGCAGAATAACAAAACACGGTCGACTTGCCTCAGAACTCTGCTAAAGCTACACAAAACTGCGCAAGCACAGGCAAATCCCGTTAAACGGCATCCACACAAGGTCAAAATCAAGAGTAGATGGAGAAACAATAAGGCACAATGATATCTATATGTATTTGACGCCTAATAAACCAGATACAGATATGTACAAAGTTCAGAGATTGGTGTATATAAACCTCTGCTTCGGTTTTTCAACCTTATCATTCGAGTCTTCTTCATTCGTTGATTGCCCCCTACTAGCTGAAGAAACAGTTTCCTTAAGTTGCTTAATAAGGTCCATCTGGCGTTGAGCGTCGGCTTTCCGGCAGGCCAATTCGAGAAATCGCTGTTCATGCGCATTGTAGGCATTTAAGAGATTGGTGAGTTTAAAGACTTGCTCCTCCAATTCAGCCTTCTCTCGTATCAGCCGTTCACTGAAGGTATCAATTGGTTAAAGGGAGAACAGATACTAAACTCGTGCAAAAAAGAAATGGGGATAGAAATACGGGAAAACGTACTACGTACATCGGAGATCGCTGGATCTTTGAGAGGGTTGCAAGAGATGAGTATTTATTTTTTCCTCCAAGTTAGCAGCCCGAACTACTAGTGCTTTTACCTCACGTCCCAAAACCTTCCCGAGGGCAAGCGTTAGGTTCTTCTGAAAAGAAGCTCTTCGAGTAAATAACTCCTGTTGTGTGGAAACTGCCTCGGAAGCAAGCTAAATTTAAAAAATGGGCCCAATTTGATGTGCCAAATATAGTTAGTTAGGAGAGGCGATAGAAACAGAGCCTACCTCTGTTAGACGTGTGACCTGCCGACAAAGTTTGCCCCACCAAACCTTGTTAACTTGATGAATGGTTTCAGGGTCCTCAACAAGCACGAAGTCTTCACCGATCGCTGCCAATTTCTCGTCCACCTTCTCCTCAAATCTGCTCCAAAACAGATCGCGTATTTCAGGATTGTGTGGTCTTCCAATTCGAGAGAGCCTGGATCTCCCCATATGGCAGTCGATCCACGCTTCACGATATACATTTAATAACTAAGTCAGATACTAAGGAATTGAAAACATCTGCGTGGTACCTCCTCTTCGTTAGGACTCAATCCCCCAAAAGCGTTTTCATATTCAAGGTCCAGTAATATTTCTTGCAAAATGTCATATTTAATGATCGCACGGAGTCTACGTAGAATAAGACTGTCACCCATTCAGCATCAGAAGCCAAGAAGGCAAACCAGACTGAAGATCTGTATGAACTACTAAGGTCACAAAACCATTATCGCATGTGATGAAACACTCGAAGTGACAGTTAACAACAGTCCCAAAAGACATCAAAAAGCAAGAATACTGACGGACAAAGAAAACATGCAATAAAAGGAATACTAGAGCAGTTAAGACATCAATGAACAAAGACAACCCACCACAAGCATGAACTTTCAAAGGAACGCTGGTTTAACGAAAAAACCAAACAACTCACAAAGTTCCGTCAATTAAAGCAAAAAACCACTTAGCCAAAAAAGGTGTCAAATTGAAAATTGCCTTTATATACTTTCGTAATCCTCATAAAATATTCCTGAACTTCGTTAAAACCCTTCTTGGATTCAACTCTACCGTTTATGAAGCAAGATAACAATGATATGAGTGTGATACTTTGCTTGTCTGATTAATTCTTAATTCTACACCTCTACTAAGTGACTAGGCCTTTGCTGCCGCCAGTAGCTTCAAGTTCTGCTGGAGGCCGACAATACCTGTTCTGCCCTAGCATTGTGCCTTTTTCGACTTTAAAGGAAGTCTTAAAATGCAATATAAAACAACTTAAAAGGTAGTTCAAAAGCACGAATCAGGCGTACAGATTAAAGTTTTTATATTTATCGGAAAATAATCCCAAAGCAAACAGAGTACTATTTAAATGAAATATTGTTAGGAATCAGGTACCATAGAACTAGCACATTTTCAGCACAATTGTGCCAAATGTAATACGATAGTGGCTTGTCCCTCGGTATTGGTGAGGCGTCACCTTTGTGTTTCGAACTAGCCCCTTTGTACCTCGCTGGGTGGGCTGGCCTTTTGGGCCATGCCAAAGTCCAGACACCTTCTCTGCGCTGAATATATATTCTGCCCTAGTATTTTGTCTTCCTTCGTCTTCACGGATTCCCCGGACGCTACAGAAGCCATAATACTTGGGCACAATATATATATTTAGCATACGGAAGGCACAAGTGCCACTGGCATGGCCCATAGGCCAGCCCACTCGGCGCGCCACAATAACCAAGTCAAAAGTGGCTCCTCACCAATACCGAGAGTTAAACCACCATCGTATTACTGTAGTACGATGGTTGCTTATCTCTCAATATTGGTGAGAAGACAATTTTGACTTGGCCTTTCCATTGAGCCGGGTGAACCGGCCTTCGGGCTATGCCAGTTGTAATGCAATGGTGGTTTATACTTTAGTATTGTTGAGGCACCACTTTTGAATTTTTGAATTAGCCTTCCTGTACCTCGCTGGGTGAGCCGGCCTTAGGGCCATGCCAGTAGCCTGAACACCTTCTCTATGCTGAATATATATATATATTCTACCCGAGTATTGTGTCTCTTTGGTCTTCAGAGAAGTCTCAAGACGCTACACTAGTAGCCAAAATACCCTCTCTGTGCCGAATGTTTGTATTCTGTCCAAGCATTATATGTACTATTCTTTTTAGAAGAGTCTTGAAGCACTGCAAAACATCCAAGTAATTTAGTTTTATAAAACTTTGAGACTTTCCTGAGGGCGAAAAGCCAATCTGCTAAAGCAGATTATATCTATATCCGCAATATGGAAAGGACTGATGGTTGTGGCTTGCACTAAAGGCCATCCAACCCATCAGTATCTTAATATTGGTGACCCAAAACAGCCTCTTATCAAATCTCAAAATTAAACAAACTAAAATATTACAGCATAACCGGCGCGTTGCTAATTCAATTGCTAAATGAGTAATTAAACCATCGGTGCTGTTTTTTGTGTTTATTTTGCTACAAAATTGTCGCAACTTTTTTTGAAAGACAGAAAAGAATTCCTTTAGGCTGAATATAATTGGCAAAATTGTGTATGTTTCAATTATTGTGAAAAGGTATGTACACTTTGGTTCATTTTAAAACACTTAGATCTGCACGAATTGTATATTTTAATTACTTTATAAACAAAAATTATGGTAAAATTTTCGCAGTTTAAATGCGATTTGAATATGGAATCGCCATTATGATTTTTGTTTGTTATAACAAACAAAAATCTGGCCGAAGTGGTGCTAATTCGAAAGTCTTCTTTCTGCCATCGTGTTGGATATATTTCGCGTTAGTTTAAGGTAATTATCTTGGCATATTTTGTCGTTCCTACTACGTCTTCCACCTTTTCTTATTTCCCTTGAGGTTTTTGGTTCTTTTCTCAATACGTCTTGTTTGGCTTTAGTGCCTGTTTTGTTTGGCCTTTGGGTTTATTATCAGTATATGGGGTTGCTCATCCCGTCGAAGAGATTTTTCACTGTACATCATTTGCCTTTTTAATTCCGGTGAATTTGTTATCTTCTTGGGCGATGTATTCGAAGTGTCACTGTAGTTGGGTTATTCATCTGCCTTTTTCCTAAAAATTGTGATTTTTGGTCTAGGTAATACAGTTGTTATCGTCATCTGGTATAATGGTTGGGTCAATATTATTTCTATTGCACTGTACCAATTTTTGTAGCGCATACTGTTCATCACTAACTAATCCGCTACCTTGTCAGTTCAGTCTTCTATTGGAATTCTCTAAATTAGTCATCAAATTTAAGATAATTCATTCTGCTACTCTTTCGGGTAACTTGTTACTAGACAATCGCAGATTTCATCGGCTGTTATGCTTCCTTAGTATTCCAGGTTATTGGCACTTATTTGACACTGTTAAGTAGTTTCTATTATTGCATTTGTTTTATTACCTGGTAGTTTGATATCCAATCTCATCAAATACTTAGATGATGCTGTTTTTCTGGTTTACCAGACTTGTGTCCGAAGCAACTTTTTCTGCTTTTATCTGCCTGTTTATATGCCCTGTTTCCCTTAATACTTATCTGGCTCAACCTTTATCACTTAATGCAATCTAGACATTCAACATTGCGATGTGACTGGTTTGTTTGTCATTGCCCTATAATTATGCATGCGTTGAAAAACAAATCTGCACACCAGCGACTTTGCCTTCATTTTAGT